CAATTCTGACATGGCAACCTTTTTCAGGGTTTTCTAGGTACAGAATACCTAGTAGCCTATTGTTCCTTTCTCCTGCGGGCATCCTGGGACTATGCAACTTGCCCAAGGCCATACAAGCTGGCTCTTCTTCTGGGAGGCACAGTGAGGAACTGAACTTCCAAACTCTGCTTTCACAGCCAGATACTAACTCACTGAGCTATCCAGCCAGCTGCAGCACTGCTTATATCATGATGAAAGCTATCTAACCATTAGCTAGCTGCAACAAACAGGGCTGCAGTTAATTAACTAGCTGAAATCTTTCGAGCTGCAATCTATAATTTATAACCAGTATTTAAAAATAGATCAACTAAAAATATGCTCTCAGTTCATCAGCTATTATTCATAGAGCTATCTTATTTTCCCAATTCAGAACTAACAATTTTACCCACTTATAATTTTAATAATTATGTCAATCAAAGTTCACATGATTAATCAACTAATCACTTAAAACAAATGGTATCTGCAGCTTAGAGAAGTCCAAATTATTTCTTTAAGAAGTTGCATGCTAACAGTCACTATACTTTATGGTTACTGCAGCAGCAAGGGCAGTTAACCTTTTCAGAAAATCTGCCTACTCACCATTTTGCCTTTATTTCAATATGGATACTGTTGGTTTCCCACTCCAGCACTGTACCCATGACATTCCCTTCTTAGCCTCAGCCATGTTTTTCTATCACATACCCTAAGCGAAGTCCTGGGGCCAATCTATGAGGAACAAGTTTGTCATGTTATTTCTTAAAATTTATCACTGTTCTAATATAAATCTTGTGCCTATGAAATCTGGAAACTATTCTACACAAAAGATACACAGTTGTTTATTCACTGCCACTGAAGCCACTGAGAGCAACTTCTACTGCATCAAGCATTTTTAGACCAAGCGGTGCCATTCATCTTCCAGATGAAAAGCAGCATTGTCAAGATTGCCTGGAAGTAGTTTGTGAGTATACTGACTACTGTGATTGCCAGCATGGTACATCTCTATAAAATAATCATGCTAGCCAGGAAAACCCAAAATATGTCCTCCACCCCCTCCTAAGCTTCAAAAAGAATCATGATAGTAAAACAGCAAGTTGTTTAATTACAAGTTAGCAACAAATTGATTCAGAGGTTTTTTGCTTATATGTACCTCCAGTAAAATTTGAATTCATGTGGTCTATACTTCTACCAAACAATTTATCACCCTTTTGGAATCGTTGCCAAGTATTTGGATTTTATTTTTTTCTCCTTCAATAATGTATTTCAGTGTTGCATTGCTTTCCAAATATGAGACATGAACAAAATCAACTTTTAGACCAGTAATTTCGACTGGATTGTAATACACTTTTAAGGGGTTTAAAATAAATGTTGCTATGTTTCACAATAAAGGTAGCCATATCTGGTTAGTCCAAGAGTGACACCCAGAGGCAAAGTATATCCTCCTCAGCACATATCTTTGATGATCAATTGATCAAATCATCTCTCTCTTAAAAACAAACACCTTTCAATTTAGAGTTTTAAAATAAGTCCTTCTGTTTATGAACCTTCTCATTTAAATTGCAGATAAAATATGTACTCTAATGCATGTCATTCCACTCCATCTAAAATCTTCATGCCCCCTTGTAAAAGCTTTTATTCAGAACATCAATAAGCCACACCAGTTCAGCACAAGAGGCTGAATTTTTATAAACTGAGGCCTTTTCTGCCTCTTTGCTAGCTTAGGTGGCTTAACACTGAACAAGACAAGAACTTATTAGTTACATTTTTCTACTTGTGAGTACTGTAATCAAGTCAAACCAACAACTTACTTTATTACAAATTTTACCATTTTATAAAACACATGTTTAATTATAGAGATAGCTGTATTGTAATTAGTATTTTGAAACAATTGTGATTTTGAGCTTAAATTATATACAGAACTGTCATTTTTGTATGTGTTACAAAGATTGCTATATGACAAACTGTACTTTTCAGTTTAATTACAATATCATTGTAAATAAGGCTGAATGAAGAATCATTTACTACTTTATGAACCTACATTGTGAATGTATTTCAATGTTTTTGCAGTATACAGATTTACTGAACTTGAAAGCTGCTTCATTTTCTGTGCAAAAAAGTAATTTAAAGCTATATTTTAAATCAATTGATTCAGTGAAATCAATTTATTTTGTACCTGCAGGTGGTATCCTTCCCATTTTACTTTGTGTATTGACACTAACTGGTAAGGTGCATATTGTGTCTAGAATGCAGTTCGCAGATGCTTTCTGTATAAAAAAAAGAATACAGGGACTCAAAACAATGCTGTGCAACTTATAGCAGAGCCATTTTCGGCTTTGATGTACTCAAACCTTTTTCAGTATTTAAAAAAAGGTGTTTTGAATAATATATTAAAAAGTTTATTGTATAAATAAAGTCACCTTATTGTAAGTATTCAGTCTTTTTAAACATGTGATGGCAGGACACTGGCACAAAACTACAATTTACTGCTAAACTGCAACAAGCACATTTTTTAAAAAACAGCTGCAAGGCTCTTGTCACTCCTTTTTATTTTTCAACACCTAATGAAGAGCTGGAAAATTTCCAGAAAAAAAATCATTTTTTCCCCAGAAAAAAACCTGGGAAAAACGCTTTTACCTCTCAACCCTAATGTCACACATTATTTTTCAATCTGTAGTATTGTGAGCATGTCAAAAGTAGTGATGGAGACTACATTCTCCAGAATCAAAAAGGATAGTTTCAGCTGTCAAGCTTTGCAGAACCCATAGCCACAGAAATAATAGTGACCATCACAGTGGTGGTAGTTGCTAGTCTCAATCTGCAGCCTGCTATAACTACGTAGTATTTTGATCTAATACACCACTGGAACACAGCTTTCCCCCCTCTTCTCTGAACTTACCACTGTGCTGAAAGGTTTTTACGCTACACCAATGGTTCCCAACTTCTGGTCCCCAGATATTCTTGGACTACAACTGCCAGAAGTCCTGGCCAAGATAACCAGTGGTGAAGGCTTCTTGGTATTTGAGTCCAAGACAATTAAGGGATCCAAGGTTGGAATCTACTGCACTACTCCAATAAAAAATTGTTGAAAAGACAACCTATTAGGACAACAGTCAAGAGCCAAAGGCAGTATCCCAGTTGATGAATTAGACCCCCTACTTCTAAAATAGATATTAAGCTGCATTTACGTGCCTTATCTTTTACAACTGCCAGTTCCATTTATTTAAGGGTGAGACCAATGAGCACTGACATATAAGGTTGGAGTGAGCTCCCTATATGTAGCACCTGTGGTGACCTGTGATAGCACTGTGAGTCTCTCTTCATTTTTTTTGAGCTGGTTAATTTTTCACTTTTTATTTTGTGGGATGCATCTGTTTGGGGCATACTACAAAACATAAGAGTGGGAAGTACTAGCTGCCCGCATCTCATTTATTTGAAGCTTTTTGCCCCACTCATACAGTGGTGTCGAACTGTGGCCCTCCAGATGTTCTTGGACTTCAACTCCCAGAAGCCTTCACCACCACCTCTGCTGGCCAGGATTTCTGGGAGTTGAAAGCCAAGAACATCTGGAGGGCCACAGTTCGATAAAATGATAAGACAGATCTTGCCTACAGGTTTACAGCCTAAACAGCTGTGTTTCATACGGGCCATTAAAGAGATGAAAAGGAGAAACAGCTTGAGCCCTAAGCAATACAGTAGGACACCCTTATCCACCCTTAGCATCTGCTGATTCACTTATCTACACTCTGTGAATATTAGACACTGTATTAAAAATGTTGTTTTAAAAGCGGGGGGGGGGGGTTTTACCAGAACTGGCCACTAGAGAGAGATGGAGAGACCATGCTGTGAAGAATATATAGCATGGTCTCTGGCTGAGGAAGGCCTCTCCTCTTGCAAGGTTTCTCCCAGAGGTGGCGGTGGCTCCTCCTGCCCGCTGGTTTAACCAGAGGTTTAAAAACAAAAAACCCAAAAAACAAAAACAAACAAACCCTTCAGTGTCAGGCTATCGACTATGGAAGTGGGATGAGGGTATCTTCAGTTGGCTTGATCTGCACTGAGGTCTGAGAGCACGCTGGCAAACAGTTCAGCATGCAAGTAAGCAGCTCTCCTAAAGCAGCAACTGTGGCCTTGGCGCTCTGCCTTCCCTTCGGGTAACCATTGGGTTTGTGTGGATTAGAGGGAGGGCAAGGGCACTTTGTCCCTGTTCTTTCTGATAAGTTGGCAATGGCAGAGAGGGCATCTGGTTTGGGGAGGGAGACGTTTGCTGCAATCCACGTTTTTCAGCATGCGCTGGGAGGACTTGGAACCAATCCTCCGTGGATACAGAGGTCCTATGGTACTGCAATTTCCAGTGCATCCAGCACCAAGAAAAGGTAAAAAGGTACATGGCAAGGAGAAGAATGAAAGGAGCAACCCAACCAGAAGTATCAGCAGCAAAGTGCTTTCATTACTGCAAAGCAGCAGTCTGAGCGGCATGGGAGCTTTGTGTTTAGGGAAAACTGAAGAAGTGTGTGTGACAGTATGAACCAGGGATATTCGCCTGACTGCTATGAAAATAATGTTAGAAACAGAAAACTGTGTTACAAAAGGGATGATCTTCTATTGTATCGCTGCCTTGTAGTCAGTCTGCTAGATGGGTTGCTTTATCTTTTACCTCACCAATTTGTGAAATGGGTATTTGTGACTTTCATGTCAACCATGGTAATAATTTTCAATCTTCAGGATTTACAAAAAAATTCAAACATGATCAGCTGTTCAGGAAAACTGCAGACTCCAGGGCTAGTATTTGTTCAACATCTGTGGTACACTGCACAATACCATTCTTTTAAAAAAACACAAATTTGTAGTAGTCAATAATTTCTGCAATTGACAGTATGCAATGTGTCTTTGAATCTGATTTTCAAAACATACTGGAAATGTAACAGTACATCAACGGATATTAAAAATTCATCATATTTTACCATCAATTCCACTATGCAAAGGCTTCACACTGTTTAAATCAATACCTGGTTTTTAATTTTATTGTTGCTCTTAAAATTTGATAAAGAAAATGGAATGTTGAATAGAAATGGAGAAAAATGTTGAAACCCAAGACCAGAACACTAAATTTTAGGTGAAACGTATTCATATGATGGGAAAGGAAGAGGAGGGACTGGAACATACTTTGATCTCTGTAATTCCTTGACTCCAGTAGCCTCTTCTCCCTTGTTGTCATGATAACAGGAATCAGTGTCGAATAGACCCATGTGTCACTCATCTGCGCATGCAATTCAAGTTTATACTCAAATTAGTTTGAATTCCCTCCATGTACGACAGTAGTCCTCAGTGAACCACTCCTGAAGAGTAACTCCATCACTTTGAGCTTAAGCAAATTCAAACAAACTGTCCTCAAATAAACGGACTTAATTCTTCAGAAAGCAGCATTTTGCACAGGTTTCTGCTCAAACCCAGTGAACAAGAGATTAAGTAGGAATCCTGCTTCTTAAGTATTCAAGCACAGCATCTGTTCCCTTGGCAAGAATGGCAGCTCGTGGAGTCCGAAAAGGATTGCCTTCCAGCAAAAGCGTCCTAATAGAAGGATTAGAAACTGTTCAGAACTATAGTTCACAAATGATATATGTGAATATACACAATGCCTATGCACAAAATAATCACATTCTTTAGGAAGGTTCCAATGAAAAGCAAAAAATTTAAATAGTGTCTAGTTTGACACTGCTGCCTCCATGTGTTTAAAAATGAGGCTCAGTTGTACCTCTAGTCAACATTTGCCATCTTTTAACCACAACTGAATTTAACAGTGAAAGACTATTATTATATTCATGTTCTTTTAATTTTTAATACCACACTATTCAACATCTCACAACAATATTCCTATGTACTCATTTAGAAACAGGTCTGGCCATAGAATTATAAACTCTCAGTTCCTCTCCTCTCTAGTGCAAAGTCTCCCAACTTTCCTTTAACTGGACATCTGAAATCACCTTCTAATTCAAATTAAAAGTTGAGCTGCTATAAGCTTTGGCCTTGGTGGGGAAGTTTACAATGAAGTATATGATCTTTTGGCACTCTTTCCTTATATCCAAGAAACCAGGAGCATCTCCATTAACTCTCTCTGACTATGTTAGTCTTTTTTAAATTAAGCGTGTTCACCATTTGTCCATATATCAAATAATGTTTACATTTATATGTTGAAAATGTTACTCATCACTCAGGACAGCCAGATTAGTAATTCTGAAAATGAGTTCTCCTGTGATAGAACAGGTAACACAAAATACAGGAGGAAACAATCTCAACATGAGTTTATCAATAAAAGGTGTGCAGGTTTTTTTTTGTGAGGCTCTTTTGTATAGTATAAGAGAAACTGGACATTTAAATATTCAGTCATGATATTGTATCTGTACTGATGGGAATTCACAAAGGAGCCCACTCTCAAACTTGTTATCTATGCAATCCTGGGAAGTAGGATATAATTTGACAACACGTGTCTCAGAAATACTAAAGAACACAGATTTTAGCACTATAACCTAATAATTCTATTTATCGGACAGAAGAAATTGATTTCGTTATGAATATTTTAACAATTTCTTTATTTTCCCGAATAGCTGTGTTATACAGAAACATGTTATTTAATATTCATAAAATTACATATACCTGAGGTTGATACAGTTCCCAAGTTCTGGTGGTACATGCAAAATATCATTATTTTGAAGGTCCAGGGTATTAAGCTTCTCCAACTTCTTTACTTGCATAGGGTCCAGGGATCCAATCTGATTATTACCAAGGAGGATTGCTTCAAGGGTTGGAATGCGATAGAGGACATCCGGAAATATTTTAAATCTATAAAGGAAACCCAAGACACTTCTTCAATATAATTTCACCAACTAAGAAAGAGACATAGGACACTTTCAAGAATAAGTGATGTTAACCCCAAGTAAGAAAATATGCTGCCTTAGCAAATGTACTGACTGTGTAGGGTTTGTACTGAAAACTGAGCAATGTACTGAAAATAGAACAAGTTTCAAACAAACTTTAAAAAATACCTATTGACTGGATCCAGTTTTTATTACATTTAGATTCCACTACACTTAATGAAATAAGTAGATATGCCTTTTAAGTCATGCTTGAATTCACTGTGACTTAAATGCAACTGAACTAGGTTGAAATCCTAAAAAGATTTACTGTGGAGGAAGTGCCACTGAATACGATGGGACATCATCATCATCATCATGTGCTGTCAAGTCAATTCTGACTTATGGCGACCCTCTTCAGGGTTTTCCAGGTAGAAATAACTCAGAAGTGTATTCGCGAAGGCTTTCACGGCCGGGATATAATGGTTGTTCTGGGTTTTTCGGGCTCTTTGGCCCTGCTCTGAAGGTTGTTCTTCCTAACGTTTCGCCAGTCTCTGTGGCCGGCATCTTCAGAGGCCAGCAACCTGTGCTCTGAAGTGGTTTACCATTTCTACTGGAGGTGCCCTGGGACTTGCGCAATTTGCTCAAGGCCACATAAGCTGGCTTTACTTACAGGAGGCACAGTGGGGAATCGAACTCTGAACCTCTAGCTTCACAGCCAGATAGAGCTATCCAGCCTGCCTGACAAGGGGGACATAATTTCAAGTAAACATGCACAAGATTTGCTTGCTTGCATGAAACCAAATATTTTTAACATAAAAGAGGGGGGGAAAGAGTATATTGGGAATATAATGGGTCTTTCTGATCTATGTCCTGAAGGCCATCCAAAGGAGAAACACTAGTTCTTCAGCATGGGCCAATATGAGAGACAGGAAGAAAAAGAAGCCTTCCTATTGTTTTCCTTCTCTTCCTCCTCCACAGATAGCTCTCCTTCCGTCCTCTGCATCTCATACTGAGAGGAAATTGTCATCTGGGTCCAGCTCCCTTTCAGAGAATGAGAAGAAAAAGATCTCTCAATCTCTCTCTCCAAGACAATGAACTGAGGGGTCCACAGCCCATTTAATGCTTACAGCCTTGAAGAAGCCCGTCCCATGCTGTCAGAAGCCACATGCTTCACAATGGCTCTGGTTCTTGCTGGCTCCTCACTCCCGAGGGCTTTCAAAATGGCCATTATGCAGGAAGAGGCACATGTGAGCCTAACTGTTCTTTCTTTCCAGGCCATCAGATGCAAGAAATGGAGGGGAAAAACATGGGTCTTTGCCTCATCACAGGGCTTTTTGTCTTACGAGACTGAACTGATGGGGGAACCGGGGGGGGTTTCCTGAGGATCCCTAACCCCCTGAGACACTGCTGGGTGGAGAACTCTAAATACAGTGCATGGCCTTCAAGGCAAAGAAGGTTCTTGTTTTTTGTTTTGACTGGTGCTCACCCCAGAGGCTCTGTTAGTTTCTTTGAGGCCACTGTAAGTGTGTGGGACAGGCCTGTTCTGCAGGGCCCCTCCGTGCACAGGGAACAATCCAACATGGTTCCCACTCTTCCTGGTATGGCAGACTGAAGCAACAGTGAAGAGGATTGTTCCAGAGGGAAAGAGAAAGAATAATTAATAAGGAAGCATAGAGAGAAGCCAGTGGAGATGAGACATGAACTAAGGTGGAGATAGGAACCCAGACTGAATTCCTGGGTTGTCTACATCACCAGAAGGAGCTGGGAGCTCAAAAAAGATTGGCTATAAGTTCCTGTCTATCAAGGTGAGTGAGTGGGACAAACCACTGTAAGAATATCCTTCCCCTGTAGGAAAACCTGTGAACTCATGTCTGTTGTGGCTTTTAAGATAAAATTGGCAATGCAATCATGCCACAAAGCCAAGCTGATTCAGTATACTTACTAGGAATATGCAAGAGCACTTACCTGTTAAATGCAAGATTTATTATTTGCAGTTTTGCCAGTGTTTCCATTTCCCCAGGCAGTGATGTCAAGAAGTTATTTCTAAATTGTAAAAAGAAAAATAAATATTTCATCAAACACTTCAATCATAATTGTTAAAAGCAATTTATATTTTAATTGAGCCAATTTTCAATAGGTAACTTTTCAATGTTTCCACTTCAATAGATAGGGTTAAACAAATAGCTGGCAGCTATCTTAATATGGATTTAGAAGCATTTTCCCTGCGACAATTAAATTTTAATAGGGATCACTCCAGTACAGAAAATTATGTCTTCCTCATATATACATGCTCTTTAAAAGCTACATGTGCGTGAGCATTAGTGCAACCTCAAAGTTTAGCAACAAATGGTTTTAAGTAGCTAGACTCAATTAAGTGGGAAGGTTGTTAGAATCTAGTCTTATTTCTGACCTTCTGTGGCTTAGTATCAGGCTACCTACCATGGGGAAATGCTACTCTAAATCTGGCAGGGGTTCTCTTCCCTACCTGCCCTACCATTTAAACTGTGTCAAAGCCCATTTGGCAATTACAGATGCATATACACATAGTAAAGCACACATTCACTGTGTTTGAAATGACAGCATATACCTAAAGACAGAACTTTCTATCCAATAGTTATTTGGAAAATGTGCTATACATACTGTGACTTTAGACTAATATTTGACACATAATGAACCCTGCGAGAATTCCAATACATTTCACAAATGGTTCTGCTTAATTTGATTGCATGAATTATCCAATATCCATGAAATGATCTAATTCTTCTCATTTTTACCTGTTGAGTAATGCATTACTTCAATTGTCTAAATGGCAACACGAGAAGCGGACAACACCAGCCTTAGTGAGGCTAACTTACGGATTTGGTAAACTCCTCTCTTACAACGAAGTCCAACTGTCATCAAGCCAATTACCATATTTTTCCATTTATAAGACACACCCCCAACTCAAAAAATAAGAAAACTTAGCTTTGAGTATTCAGCCTCTGGGCTGAGAACATTCGGTCATTACAAGTCCCTGTTGTATCTGAGCCTAGAGGCTCCACCTCCAATGAGGTGTGTTCCAATTGGTTTGTTCAGCATCAGCTGATGTCAGTTCCATAAGGCTTGTGATTGGAGGAAGCAAAGTCTCCTGACTATAGGAAGCTAAGCCTTGTGATTGAAGGAAGCTTGTTGACAGAGGAAAGGTACGGGTAGTTTTGTTCTCTCCTCAGCTTATTTCCGTGTATAAGATGCTCCTCAATTTTTAGTGCAATGATTTTAGGAAAAAATAGCGTCTTATACACAGAAAAATACGGTTATAAAAAAACCCCAAATTCATTCAACACTATGAGACCAGGCTCCACTAGTGATAATGGAGTCTTATTGCTTTTTTAAAACCCAGATTTTTGTGAGATCCTTAAAAACTCTTTAAAACCCACATTCTGAAAAACTTAAGATAAGTTTTAGATTTCAGCCTCCCCCAACTTAATGTTCTGCAGAGATGTTGGACTACAACTTCCATTATGTCTGTCTAGCATGCTTGGGAAGGTTGTCAAGTTTGCTTTAAAGATGGCTAACATTTTGACTACTACTGCATTTATCAAGAAAAACCTTTAAGGAAATCTACAGCTGGAAAGTATTTTAGGAAATAAGTTTAATTATTTACCTGATATCCAGATGTGTCAGTCTATAAAGCATGCACAGTTCCACAGAAATGGAAGACAGCTTATTGAAACTAAGATTAACATCAGAGACAGATTCTTTTAACTCCGTAATTCTGTAAAATGTTTTTAAAAAACATTTATTTATAAAAGATTTGCAGCACTTATAAATCGCAACATTCATTATTCTATAAGTCCTGAGGAGATGGTCTACATCTAGAGCTACAGCTTCACTACAGAAATTAAATATCATCCAAAGCAAATAAAAACAAAAAATGCTTTAAGAAATGTACTTGGGCAATTATTGGGCCACTAAAAATTTCCTTTTTTTTAAAATAAAAACACAGAAATCTTATCTGAAAATGATTTTGTCATTTCACCGAATTTTTGAGACAGTACGAAATGGAAGATTGACCTTTGGGAGATACTATTAAAGAGCATAGTTACTCCTAGGAAGAAGGAATATAATGGCATGCTGGCTGAAATCTTGTTGTACAGTTACACAATGGGGGTAACTTTCAGAAGCAAATTACCATGGGTTAAGACATCTCCGTAAGCATTATCGGCTATGGGTGGATGACAGTAGTGGACACAAAGAGGATGCTACTGCCAGGCTATGTGCGCAACCAGGTGGTGGCTGGGGCAGTGAATGGGCAAGACTGAGGATTCAATGAAATGTACATTTTTTAACCTTTTCATATATTTTTAAAAAATGCCTAATACACAGATCCTTAATGCTAGCTGTATAAAATGTGGCAGGTTTATTCCCTTGTAGAGAGTATCAGGACTCCAAACGTCATGCACAACGACCAACCGTTCTAGCCATTTTTGTCTTCTGCCACAAATAAATGGGAGATTAGTGAGCTGCATTTAGAAACTGATCTGGATCTAGGCTCAGTTGGAAGCTGGCTCTCTCCAGACTGAATAAAAATCCATCTTGAATTGGCCTTTGAACTGTGCACTCAGTTATTTTCCAAGGCTTGGCACTCGCTGACTAATGTAAGAAGCCCCAAAGTGGTCTGAGCTAAATGGTACAGTTCTATTGCCAAAACAATTCCACTCTCGATCTGGCAGCTGCTAAACCACACTTTAGTGCTACATCTAAGCTTGGTTACCATCTTGTTAACATATGTATATATTGTTCATAGTGAACAAATCCTTCAAGACCTGAATTATATCCTAAAATGTGAAGAAACATTTATCCTTCCAAGAACAGAACATGCCTACGTTGGCCTTACAATAGAACAGGCAAGGTTGCTACTACTATAGCAAAAACATCCTACCTTACTGGAATTTCAGTCAGTTGATTCTTGCTGAAGTTTACAGTAGTGACTGGATTGCTTCCAACTGAACTGAGTACTTCATCAGGAATTACTGCTTTCTGTTTTTCACTAAACAACAATTGATCAAAATCATCTTATTTGGCAGAAAGATAAAACTACTGAATGACTCATGATTTTATTAATAAAATAAAATATCTACATAGTTACAATTAAAATAGCATACAATAAAACACAAAACAATTTAGCAGTAATTTTAAAAGATACGTTTTTAAAATCCATAAACAGAAATAAGCAAACAGATGAAGGAAAAGAATTATTAATAGTGAAGGAAAGCCCATGTAAACAGAAGTTTTTAAATTTAAATACAAATATAATATACAAAAAGAGCAACAATTATAATCGTTCTAAATAACATACATACAAATAGCATCAGACATTATTCCCAAATTAAGTCAAGACATCACTCCATAGTTCAGCATGAGAGGTGGTGGTGAAGAACCACTGAAAGAATTATTGGAATACTGAATAAAAGGGAGCCACGTTTTACAAAATGAGTCTGTGTTGAAATTCTGATACATTGTCAGTTTGCAATGAGTTTTTCCATCAACGCTGGTTTCCATACCCTTAGTTCCCAAACACACAGTGAAATTCCTACAGCTGCTTTCCAAGATCGAGCAGTTGTTTTTCTAGCTGCTACACACAGAAACATGATTAACTCCTCATGGTGTAATGATGCATTGGAATCCAAAAATAAATCCATTAATCCCAATGCAGGGCCTTGACAATTGTTTGTGACGTTATCTTTCCAATTATATCAAATACAGAAATTAAACATACTTGGGCAGTGTCACCAGAAAAGTAAATATGTACGAACAGCTTCACTACCTCTCCAACAATTTGAACTCAGATTTTTGTTTTGTAATTCAATTTGAGCACAGTATAATACCATATGTGTACCCCTTTGAGGCAATGTTCTCTTACAGATGATAGAATTCATTTAAAAGGCTTTTTACTTCATAGGCTTTTCCAGTTATCTCTAATAGTAAATCCAAAACATTTTCCCAGATGTCTTTGCCCCATCACATTGCCATATATTAATCAATGTATCATAGCATCCAAGCCCTTGTAATCATTAGTAGCCAATAATATGTACTATATTTTCCCTTGGTGCCAAGAGGTTTACGAACCACTTCTATAATCTCAGGTAGGTGAATGAAATGAGTTACCTGGAGGAGTTGGAACCAAGCTGTGCCAAAAATGTAGACCCTAGTTTTTAATCTATTACCTGAAAAAAGTATTTCTTCTAGTTTCTAAACTGTAACCATCTGTCACTGTTACAAAATAGAGAACTTTAAAAGGATATGATGGATGAGTTAGATGATACTAATCTTGTCTTGCAATTTAATTAAATTCACTAAAAGTCTTCAAAAATTGATATTCTATATAATATATAGTGAAATATTTTTATTCTTAAGGAGAAATAGAATTCTGATAGTTTGCCACTGTTTTAGGAGCTCTCCTGATTAATCCAACTAGAATTGAGCAGAACGAATAAAATTTGGTGGAACTGTCATTTTAACAGAAGATCTACTTCCCAACTATGTCAATTTCAGCTTCTTCCAGTTATGTTTTTAAACAGCCTTTTAAAGATACCTTTTCAGTGGCATTTCAGCTTGATTTTTCCAATGGCTGCCACTGTTGTAAAGGTCCACATTCACAGTGTTAACAGGTGGCATTTGATTGGTCGGGAGACAATCAATAAGGCTTCTATTAGTTTTCTTAGGGGTTAATTTGTAAGCATGCATAAGTCAAGACAGTCTCTTATGTGTATGATGACACTCCTGTTGTGGCCAATGGCTATGCTGGCTGGGGCTGCTAGGAGTTGGCTTTTTATGACACAATATCATATGTGTGGAAGTTGAGTCATGGCAACTGGACTTCTTTCTTGTTAGGTTAAAATGTTTTGCTACTCATCCAAGTAGCTTCTTCAGACTGGAAGTCCAGTTGCCATAACTCACCTTCCAGATAACCACACCTGGATGACTGGCATATTAGCATATGTGATACAAATCTAGTTCTAAACCACTGAGGAAAAACACCAAATTCTTTTCCGGTGGTTCATTTAGCTTAGCAAAACTTACTAATACATTCACATAGTTTCACATTACTATGGTCTACTTCCATGATGCGAGAAGAAAAGACTTTTATGTTTACTACAGCTGCAATTCTATGCTCTTTTGCAAAGAAAGCTCAGCTGCAGAAGCAACTGGTGCTTGAGTCATGAAGCTTCACTACCATATACTTTCCTTCAATGGGGAGGATCCTGTATGGGTGAATCTCCCATTTCCACCAGTTAGAGCAGAGGCCCCCAACCCCTGGTCTGTGGCCTGGTGCTGGTCCATGGGCTTCCCAGAGCTGGGCTGCGGAGACGTATCTCTGCCCCCCATTACGCATGACACGTCCCCCCCATGAGCATGGGGATGCCCCCCGCACAGGGAGCCTGCTCCCCCAACTAGTCCGCAGTTCCAAAAAGGTTGGGGACCACTGAGTCAGAGATAACAGATAACAGAGATAATGGTAGGGATTTCCTCATGTGCCACTGGTCTTCCTAGCAAGATGTTGATTACTGTAGGGGATAATCCCCAAGGGGTCAGGCTTTAGTAAGGGCAGTTTGGGACCACGCATGGGTTCCAAACTGGATATCATTTGGAAGTAGGGCAGGGTTCTCTCCCTCGCTTTTCTGCTCTTCTGTTTTTATTCAGCTGTTTTGATCGTCGTAATGCGATTTTTCCCCATAGGAACATCGTTTTGCAATTGCAATAGTGATCGCAAAAAACCATTTTAAAGTGGATTCGTCATTTAACAAGGTAATCATTAAGCGAGGCACCACTGTAATTGATCCTCAAAAGGCATAAAGTTTATCTCAGGAAGTGGAGGGAAATGTAGACCCTCTAGCTGTGAAACAGGAGGAGACTCATGAGGGTGCCTCAGGGAGAGAAAGTGTCCTAAACTCCCCAGATTTTGAAAAATGGAAGTTGGAACGGGAATTTAAATTGAAGGAGCTGGCTACGAGAAATCAATTAGAATTGGAGAAAGAAAAAGCCAGGGCTGAAGAGAGAGCTCGGGAACTACAGCGCAGGGCTGAGCAGAAGGCCAGACAAAAGGAAATAGATTTTGAAATGGAGAATGAAAGAGCCAGAGAAAAAGAGAGAGCTGAGGCCAGACAAATAGAATTAAGAGAGAGAGAAATTGCACTGGAGCAAGAAAAAAGACAAATGGAATTTCAAATGGTAATGAAAATATTAGAATTGGCTGCTCAAAACAATAATAGTAATAACAATAACTACTCTAGTGAGGGAAATCTCTCAAAAATTGACTTAAATAAGTTTCCCCAATATAGAAAAGGAGACTGCCCTGAATATTTCCTCATATCATTTGAAAGGGCATGCTGAGGCTTTAATGTTAAGGATGATGAAAAGATGATAATTTTGAGATCACAAATAAGTGGAGATTTAGCTGAGCTATATTCTCAGATGCCTCTGGAGCAGGCTAGAGATTATGAAGCATATAGAAAAATGGTATTTTCTAGATTTGGCATCAATGCAGAACATCTGCGGAGAAAATTTCATTCCCTGACCAAAAAGCCTGAGGAATCTTATTCTCAGCTAGGGGCTAAACTGCTGCAATGTTTGGAGAAATGGATGGGACGTGAAAATGTCACTTCTCTTGAGCAGATAAAAATGTGATTGGGTTGGAACAATTTTATTCTAATTTGCCTGGGGAATTGCGTTATTTAGTTAAGGACAAAAACCCTAAAAATCTATTAGAAGCAGGTGAAACAACAGATTACATTGGGGAAATCTGAGACTACAGATTCTCTGAGGTAAATTTTAACACAAAATACTGGGGCAACCGTAAGAAACCCTTTAATAAAACTTTCCTTAGCAAAACAACAGGAAAAGAAGGCCATAGTAGTACTTCATCTAAATTAGCACAGCCTAGTTCTCAGACCCAAATGAACCCTGAAGAAAAGTTAAAGTTGAACAGATCTCCTCAGAATGAGCAAAGACGACAGTGCTATAACTGCAAGGAGTTTGATCATTTATAGTTCAATTGTATGAAAAATAAACTTAATATTGGGAAGGATGATGGTCAGACCAAGATATTGCTTGAAAACTGCAGAAGCTACTGAAGGTTGTAACAATTCTGTCTCCATGGCTACCGGTATGACAAAAAATTCTGATCTGCCACTAGCCCAGGTCGTTCATTGTTTTCTAGTAAAAGCAGAACATATTTTAATACATAACCCTGGTTAGGGGATTCTTTTTAATGAAAACTCTTGTGTTGGAGTGGTTGATACTTGTTCTAACAAAACCCTGTGTCATCCTGATGTGATTCCTAAAGAACAAATTCTCCCAAAGCAGAGTGTTACCATCAAGGGAGTAAGTTCTACTCCAGTGATTTTACCCATGGCTAAAGTGAAAATAAATTGTATTCGCGAAGGCTTTCACGGCCGGGATCTAATGGTTGTTGTGGGTTTTTCGGGCTCACAGAGAGCACAGAGTGCTGTCCTCTGAAGATGCTGGCCACAGAGAACTGGCAAAACGTTAGGAAGAACAACCTTCAGAACACGCCCAAAGAGCCTGAAAAACCCACAACAATCATAAAAATAAACTATAGAGATTGGATTGGAAATTGGGAGGTGGCAATTTCTGATCAAATTCCTGCGTCTTGTTTAATCAGGCTAGATCTCACTAAGCACATGCAGAGTGATTTTGAAGTGACAGGTTCCTTGAGAGAGCAGTTAACAATCCCTGAAGGAAAAATGGATTCCCTAATGCCGATGAAGACTCAGCAAACCATCAATTGGCTCCCGGCTCCCCAGTAGTGACACAGACTAAGGATAGAATTAAAGCCCCTCTGGAGCCCATGATAACAATAAAGAACACTTAATTCTAACTTGACAGTGCCTGCGAACCAACCCGAGCTCTGCAAAATTCAATCATAGGAGCCACAAATGCCACTACTGCTATAAATAACTACAGTGGTGCCTTGCATTACGACGTTAATACGTTCCAGCGAAATCGTTGTAGAATGAAAACGTCGTAAAACGAAATAAAAAACCCAATGAAACACATTAAAACCCATTTAATGTGTTCGGATGGGCTGGAAACTCACCGTCCAGCGAAGATCCTCCATAGGGCGGCCATTTTCACTGCCTCTGCAGCGAGGAATCCGTCCCAGAAAACAGCGGGGGCCATTTTGTTTACCGGCGGCCATTTTGAAACCGCCGATCAGCTGTCCGAAAATCATCGTTTTGCGAAGAATCGGTTCCCGAAGCAGGGAACCGATCATCGCAAAGCGAAATTCCCCCATAGGAAACATTGTAAAGCGATTGCAAAAGCGTTCGCAAAAAGTTCATCGTAATGCAGTTTCATCGTTAAATGGAGCAATTGTAAAGCGAGGCACCACTGTACTCAATCCTAATCAATGCGAATTAGGGATATTGACTTTCAATATTCTATTTCAAAGGCTTGCAAAACATGCTCCATCTTGCACCTTGGCTTAAACTATAATTACTCCCAAAGTGCTAGGTATTTGGAGAATCTGATTATCCCAAAATGCAGGCACGTCTTCTCAAGAGCCCAGTTTAAACGTTTCCAATCCGCAATTTTAGATGGGCCATATTCTGGCATCCCTTATGAAAAAAGATTGTGTCCTTGTAAGGACAGATAAATTGAAACTTTGAAGCACGTCCTTTTTGAGTCTAATTTTTACAGAAATGAGCATATCAAATTCCTCAAGTCCATAATGAATGTCTTCCCAGGTAGGACTCTGATTTGGCATACAAAATATTTATTAAGCGACACAAACAAGATAACCACCGAATCAGTGGTCAAATTCCTTCTCTCTGCCCAAAGAATACGAAAGACAATCTTGATCTCTACCTAACCCCATCATAAAAAACAATGTATGGGTAATCTATTTTATTAATTTATACTGTTTTAGCTACCACTGCCCTGCATGTGATTCTGTGATTCTTTTCTTTAGGCACAGTTAAGGGATGGTCTCAATCTAAGGGATGCTCTTTGCCAGAGGTCCCCAACCCTTGGTCCATGGCCCAGTGCCCATCTGTGACCTGAGCCAGACTGGGCTGCAGAGAGAAACCTCCCCCCCACCCCTGCATGCACCCCCCACATAACCTGTTTGTGCCTGCGCGCAAGCGCATGCCTCACATAACCTGTTTGTGCCTGCGTGCAAGCGCATGCCCGCATGAGCACTGCGTCGCCCTTTGCGTGTGCACACAAGTGTGTGTGCTCCTTCGCGCATGCGCACAAGCGCAGGAGGGTGCCCCACCTTCCCCAGCCAGTCCACAGGGCTAAAAAGGTTGGGGACCGCTGCTCTATGGCACTCAACTATGAAATATTCATTTTATTTTCCAGGTTCAGAACTTGGCAGGTTAAAATGTTCCTACCTATAATCCAGTGTTTTCAATGCAGTTATAGCATGTAGATTAATCTCTGATTGACTTGGCAGAGTCATTGCTGTCACAGGCAATTCCCCATTTGGGCTAATCAGATTATCATCTAAAGAAAACAGAAATAGATTTTATGTTTGATACGCTTTACAGTTTGTAAAAAATCTCAAGAAGAAAACAATTAGGTATAGATAAATTGTCAGGACTATTACTTCTTTCCAGTTTTACCCACATGCTTAATGTAGGTCAGTCATAATGGAAGGCTCTTAAAGATTGAATTATCTCAATATGTCATATTTGCAATCCATTTTGTGCATGTATATTCTGAAAAAAGTCCCAATAAGTTTAATGGTTATAAAAACTTTTCAATTGCAAACAGGAAGTTCCTGGGGCTGGCCCTAATCTCATTTTACTTTTTGGGAGCAGGGAAGTGGCAGCTTCTTCACAACTTCAGATGGTTGCTTAAGTTACAAGTGCATTCTAGACTACCTATTTCTTTTGCTGTCCTGAATGTCTTAAAGGATGGTTAGAAATCTAGAATTTGACAAATATTTTACTAGCCACATGAAATTGTTGGTAAACATGCAGATACTGCTGTTGTTAACAATACTTGATTATAGCCACAGCTAACTCATAGTGCAAAAGGCTAGTAGTTCCTGACATACTGCCCTGGAAAGGTAAGGAAGTTTCTAAAGCACTTTGTGATAGCGTAGCCTGCCTTTCCAAGAAGAAAGTTAAATCTCTGGACATCGGTTGAAATTCAGTACTAAGTTGCAACTAGAGTAGGCCTGTTAAATCAATAGAATTTATGGAGGAGTTAAGTCATAAAATCCCAATTGATTCAGTAGAGCTACTCTCCCATAGGCTCTGCCAGTTTGTCCCCCCAGCTTCAGTTGAAGGAATGCTCAGAGAAATCCCAATTGATTCAGTATACTCTCCTGTAGGCTCTGCCAGTTTGTTCCCCCAGCTTCAGTTGAAGGAATGCTCAGATGTTAAATCATGTGCTTCCCATAAAAGATGAACCTTTAGTGCTTTTTAAATTTTTATTTTTAGTATAAGCCATCAAATACTAAAATATGTACTTCAGCTAATCCTAACCCATAAGAAATGGGGGTTGGATGGCTGGATTTTACAAAATTAATGAAGTGTTTTCAACTGTAAAGCTGATTATTAACCATAACTCTTGCTGTGGCGTTCACCCTGTGGCCCCTGCTTGTTTCACCAAACACAGAGCTCACAAAGGTATCCCAACATGCCCTTTAACACACTGCCACCAGTTGATCTCTTTATCATCCTATATTTCCCATGAAAGACTGGGTTTCATTCAGTACTGAACTTTTAAACAGAAACAGGTTTATTGATTATAAGTTGTTTTAGGTATAGTTCTTAAATACATTCTTAAAGTTATACAATTTTCAGTATTTTACTTTAATCTCTTCTATCTTAATTAATACCGAGTGGTCATACTCTGACTAAAATCATTCCTTAAATGCCCTCCAACCCCAAAGTCCTTTCTCCCAACTCTGTCTTGACTGAACTCTCTAGACCAGTGGTGGCGAACCTTTTTGGGTGGCGTGCTGCCGGGGCAATATCGGTGGTGACGGACCCGGAAGACTGGAACCAGAAGTGGCAGTTAAAGGAGAAATCATGGTGGCGGGCGCGGAGGACCCGGAACCCGGCGGTTTAAGGGGGAATCATGGCAGTGGACCTGGAAGTGGCAGAGGAAGGGGGATCCTGGCTGCAGCCACCTCATGAGGGTTGGTTGCGCAGAGGGGCGGGGGAGTAGCGACCTATGGCTCACATGCTAGAAGGGCTCCACGTGCAAGCTGTGGCACACGTGCCATAGGTTCGTCATCACTGCTCTAGACTCTGACTCACCCCTCCCTTCTAGTTTCTCTGGTTCCTCCCAACAACTCTCATTGGTACATGCCAATAATCTTCTACCAGAGCCAAAGCAGGGTGATCACTTCTGTATTTAAAGTTCCATATGCATGAATAATGAACAGGATACTGGCCTCAAGTTGTTTACTTCCCATCTGATTAAAAAGCAAATCACAATCTTTACCTTCCTTAAATACCTATACAACAACTGATATACTGTATATTCTTGTAATATTAGAAAACTGCTTCCTATTACACGGTATATGGAAAGTCAGAAATACTATCTAAGCAAACATATGTGACTGGAACCCAAAGCAAGAAAGCAGCACTATAACAAGGACTCCTCTGCAAATTTTTAATCAGAAACATTTACCTTGTATTTTACTTCTAAGGTACTTCAAGATTTCTTGTGTTCCTTTCTAAATTAAAAGAATAAATATACAGGAAATTTTTGTTAATTATGCTAAGCGAGGTAGACATAATGTAACATAGTACATAAAGTATGTGTACTTACTTGTAGAACATCCCTTCGGATTGTTCTTAAAGGGTTTCCTTCCAGCGCTAGGAATTTCATGTGAGAAAGGTTTCCAAGCATAGGAGGAAGGCTGCCAAAATAAAGTTTTCTTTAGAAGTAACCTCAAAACTAGAAAATGGAGCAACATTCAAGTTAGTTACTTCATATTCTAGATGCCATAATCAGAACTTTCTTCATGGTTCAACACAAACAACCAGTTTTTCCCCCCAAAAGGAAAATATAATCACAGTTTTAGTACTCAATGGCCAAAATCCTGTTGTGCATTTATGCAAAAGACGTAACTTTTAGAGAAGAACTGTCCTAGGTTACATGATCTTCAAAGCCAGTCAGCATGCAACAGACAGCAGCTACAGAGACTTCTTAATTTACGGCAATTCATGTGTAAAATCTATACTTGCTGCACAACACGATTTTTGGCAATACTTACAAAAATCTGGATTTATTATTGCAAGGCAAGAAATGCCATCACATATACTTTCCTATAACCAGATTATAGTCATACCTACTAATGTCATTGTTGGATAAATCTAGTCGCTCTAACCCCTGCAGCAAAGTAATTTCATCAGGCAATGATTTCAGTTTATTATCTCTAAGGTCCAATACACAGAGGGAATTCAAATGCTTTAAGTGTTCAACTTTCAATACTTCAATCTGATTTTCACCAACATGCAACTCCTAGAGAAATAAAAAGAAACAAATATAGATAGTAATTTTAACAAAATAAAGTAATCGCAGACAAAGATGCGCTAAGAAGTAATGTATTATCTCTAATCTCTCCACATGTCTAAAAGCAAGAAAACACATGTTTATTTAACCCACAGTATATCAGGTGGAGAGTCTGTAGCAATCTTGTAGGCACTTAAATTAAGTAAGCTAATAGGTTGCTACATTAGTCATTGTTACTTGGGAGTATACCTCACCAGCTGCACCAAAATTCTATTTTTAGCATGCATTAAAATATCTGTATTTCATCTATATTTTGAGGATCTTTGGCCGTGTTCTGAAGGTTGTTCTTCCTAACATTTCGCAAGTCTCTGTGGCCAGCATCTTTGGAGGACTGGAGTAGGAATTCTGTCCATGCATTGTTCCTACTCCAGTCCTCTGAAGAGTTCCTTCAGAACACAGCCAAAGAGCCCAAAAAACCCACAACAACCATCAGATCCCAGCCGTGAAAGCCTTCAAGAATACAAAAAGCTGCAGTGTTTGAGTCACTGAAATTTAGCTCTCTGAGAGCACCATATTAGTAGTTCAATAAGAAGCAGCCATACAACTGATATACCCTGATTCAGTGATGAAGAACTTTTGGACTATCATATCTTTTGGCCTACAACTTCTGTCGGCCTCACCAAGCACAACCTATGGTAATTCTATGTCAGAATAATAATCCAAAACATCTAGAGGACCAAGAGTTCCCCATAAATGGAGTGGAATACAGATTGTCAGGCTGCCTTTATTTATCAGTTAATATAGTGGTTCCCCTTATTGCTCTAATTCCAGTGTCAGATCCCTCAAAGTTAAGGTATGAATCTGATTTCAGTATGTAACTCTTTGTATATAATTACCTTGGAATGATTTCACCAACACAAATGTGAGCAATGTGAGGCCCATGGGCTCCATTCTGAAGCCCAGAGAACTAAATGTGCCTCATTGACCCCTTTGGTCCCTCAATTTCTCCCCTTTAAAAAAATTGCTCAGAAAATCCCCATTCCACTTGAGGCCAATTCTGATAATATTTAGGTTTCTGGTGTCCCTTTCTTTTAAAAAAGCAACTAGTGACTACAAGAAGCCTTTTTCAGTAAAGAACTCTTAAAAGAAAATACTTGGCAGCAGGAAGGCATGAGTGCTTCCTTCCATGGGACAAAAGGGGGTATGTGTGGTCCCTGGAACTTTGGAAGCTGCCTACCTGAGAATAATAGACTGAGACACAGACAGATGACTTAAGTCAGTTACAATAGTTTTATGAAAAAAAAATTCCAACACCACTGGCCTAAATCCAACTGTTAGGCTCATCTAGAGTTGACGCACTGAATAAACGGGATTTATGTCAATGTTCAATTTCCATTTAGCAACTAATTAAATGACCGAAATCCTGTAGCACAATTACACAAAGGTGTAACTTTTAATGGTGACTTATATAAAATTTAAGACATCGCTATAGGTATTAGCTGTTGCATATTAAGTGGCATGACTTGGCATGCAGCAGACAATGCCTGTGTCAATCTCCTAACTAGGAAAGCTGCCACTAAAAGTTATGCCTTTTGTGTAATTGTGCTACAGGATATCAAATGACAGGTCTACCTGTGACTAACAGCTAGATTCAGGCCACCATCTACTAATACATGTGTAAGCACCAAATCAACAGGAAACACATTTTACCTTTAAAACAGTGTATGAAGGAAAGTCTGGCAAGTAACGCAACTTATTTCTTCTTAGATACAGCTGTTCTAATGAAGCCATATTAGCCAGTTCAGGGGGTATAGTTTCTAGACAGTTCTTAGTGCAATCCAGCTGTCTTAAATCTACAAGAATAAGTAAAGAGTAAATGCCAAAATCAAAGTCAACAGGTTGGCTTTAATGAAAATCATTGCCACACAAATATATTATATTCAAGAGTGTACCATATTTTTTTGCTCCATAAGACGCATAAATATATTATATTCAAGAGTGTACCGTATTTTTTGCTCCATAAAACGCACTTTTCCCTTAAAAAAAATGAGGTGAAAAGTCTGTGCATCTTACGAAGAAAATATATTGTGTTTGGTTCCTTCTAGTGGTCAGTCTTTTTACACCTTTTTTTACAACACTGATCTGGAAGGATGCTCCCTCAAGCTTGCTGGGACTAGACAAAATGGTGGTGGCTTAACAGACCCCCCAGTACTGTACTCAGTAGTAGCACTGATACGACAGGGCATCCGTAGCAGCCCTGTAGGACCAGCGCTGCTTACTGGACAGCTGGATCATGTGACCAGCCCAGACGCCAGGGGAAACAGAGAGAGAGAGAGAGAGAGCTCCACGGAGGAAGGGAGAAGACTCATCCAGGTACTGTAAATGATAGAATACAGAGGAATTCCTGGCTGGATTGCTGACTGGTGACATTAGGGGGCACATGAGGAATTGTTGGTGAAAAGTAGGATTTGTTTCAGTTGCTGACTGTGTGAAAGGCCTTTAGTTCTTTTGAGATTTGTCATACTATTCAAAGTAACCCACTCTAATGGTATCTTAAACCTGAATTTTTTATACTTTACACTGATGTATTGCGCCTTGGGGTGTCTACTTCACTCCCCTAATGGTGAACATAATTCCAAATGTATTATATAAAGTAATAGACCTCCTCACGTGGGACCACTCTGCCTACAGAGATACCATACAATTTTATTACACTATTTGGTTCAGAATATTTTTGTCCTGTTTTCCTCCTCTAAAAATTATCTGCGTCTTATGCTGAGGTGCATCTTATGGAGCGAAAAATACGGTATTTCTAAAAGTGCCTTCAAATGTTTTACTTCTGAGTCAAATCAAACAAGAAACAATTTACAAATGCAAAATTCTTTGTTCTAGGCAACAGGGGAAAAGGAGTAAGCAGTGTTACTTCAACAGTGTGTGGCTGTGGAATGCACTGATGCTTTAGCATCTTTCTATGAGCTACCTATGCCAAACAACGGCTTAGAGTCTTTGGTATATGCAGAAGAGACTTCTTTTTCTATCGAGTTACTCATTTCCCCCCTGTTAAACACAGCCCTCCACACTTCATACATGCTATTCTGTGACATCTGGGAATAGCTCTTCAGGGAACCTTATGGTCAGGAGTGAGATGGACATTTGGAAGGGAGATGAGTTATATGATCAGAACTTCATCTTGTATCTTTAGATATAAGACATTATTTTTAGCTATTTGAAGAGATTTAGAATAAAATAGTTGAAAGATTTACAACTTCAGTGAAACAGGGTGACCTGACTTCCCATTTACTGCAAAAAGCAGCCTTCAACATATTTTAAACAAATTATCTGCTGCATATAATTCACATTAAATGCTGATTACAAACTAGAACGTGTTTGTGTGTGAGCATGCGTATGTATCAAGGTTCCTGCTAAGCTGGGAGCACATGTGTACAACTCCACTTCCCTCTGCACAGCTGTTCTCTTCCACACAGCAATCACGTTAGGTTCCAGTTGCGACTGAGCACAGCCCATGGGGGAGCACAGTTGCACACGCATGTAGGGGTGGAGTCACACAAGAGAGAGGTGGAGACCCGTCTAGCAGGGCTGAAAATTAGAGGGCACGTTGGTATGTTTGTATGTATGTATGTAGGTAGGTAGGTAGGTAGGTAGGTAGGTAGGTAGGTAGGTAGGTAGGTAGGTAGGTAGGTAGGTAGGTAGGTAGGTATATGTTGTTTCATAACTGCTCACAGGAAAGCCTTGATGTTCTGCACTGGACTTACTTTTCATTGCACTGATTTCTGCAGGTAGACTCTTCAACTGATTATGAGCCAAATTCAGTTGCAACACATTTGTAAGAAAGGCAAAACTTGAAGGGATACTAGAGAGATGGTTGTTTGAAATATTCTGAAAAAACAAAGAAAATAAAAATAAATAAAACCACTGTGACATTTACCATGTGGCCCCCTTGTTTTCCCGAACATATGGCTCACACTATGTCCTCCCACCAGCTGATATCAATTGTGACATTCCCTCTTTTTCTCACTGCCACCAGTGGATTTCCTTTATCCACAATGTAAAAGACTTTAATCAGACACTTGTCTGGTTACTGCCAAAAGAACTTATTTACTGAAGTGTATTAAATTAAATCAGAATCACAGATGTTCTTTATTCAGTGCTGTGATCCTCCTTTGTGGCCCTTATTTTTTTGGGCCTCACAAAGGAACACACACCCTTTTCGCTGCCACCAGGTATTCTCTAATACCACTTCAATTCCCACACAGGAGCTGCCACCCCAAAAGGTCATATACTTTAGGAAGCAGGGTTTATGATTTAGTATTCTTGTATTATTATTCAACAGGAAAATCATATATGAGTTGGTTCAGGTGTTAATACTTTTAGGATCATGCAGGCAATCACTTTACTATCAATTTTATACCTCTCTTGTTATGCTTGTATGTTCATTCCTGCTGGTTCCATGTGTTTTACTTTTAATTTCCTTTCCTAAACCATTTTGATCTATTCCTAAACCCTAACACTCTCTATACATCTTCTGGTCCCTGACTCTTTCTATCTCTCCCCAACTCTGACTATCTCTAACTGTCTCTTCAACTCCCTCTGTCACTATCAATTTTATACCTCTCTTGTTATGCTTGTATGTTCATTCCTGCTGGTTCCATGTGTTTTACTTTTAATTTCCTTTCCTAAACCATTTTGATCTATTCCTAAACCCTAACACTCTCTATACATCTTCTGGTCCCTGACTCTTTCTATCTCTCCCCAACTCTGACTATCTCTAACTGTCTCTTCAACTCCCTCTGTCACTCTAACTCAGCCCCTCCTGTTGTCTCTGCAAATTCTATTTCCTCTCTCTGCCAAACCTCCTTATATCCCGACTCTGCCCCTCCACTCCTCTAATTTGTTGTTGTTTAGTCGTTTTGTCATGT